ACAGAACAGGGCACTTCCCGAGGTGGGGTAACAGAGGAGAGACACCTGACTGTCCTTGGTGGCACAGTCCCCACCCCCTCAGCCCTGGATCCCGTCTTGCCTTCTGACACTGTGCCCTTCTGGTTCTCCAGGTGCATGGGCTTCAAAGCCTTTCTTTTCTCCCAAATAGGGTGTATGGCTTGCAGCCACATAGCGGCGGAAGCAGTCAAGGCCACTGGTCAGAGAAGGGCCATCTGTACCCTGCACGTGATATCCCGCGACACATGGCGTTAGCAGTATTCCAAGTGCAGTCATGTGGCTCGAGTCCAATAACAGAATGGCCACATTTGTGGAGGCAGCAGGTGGCAGGGCAGACACCAGAACAAGCGACCCTCTCTGAGAGAGTCGCAGAGGGCCTTCGTCAAGGCTGTCTCAGCTGCTCCCCAGGGTCTCGGGGACCACCAGAATTAGGTTCCTGCGCGCTCCGGTGGAGGATGAGAGGGTGCCAGGACGCCGTGCCATCGTGCCACTGGCACATCCGCGCCCATCCTGTCACTACCCGAGAGAGGAGGCGGCCAGCCACAGCGGCTCCTGGGACTCAGTCCGGAAGGCACCGCCCAGCGGAAGCGCGGTGCTCTGCGACAGGGACGCGCCTGAAACACCACCATCCGCACGCGAGCGCTCACTCGTTCATTCGTCGGTTCATTCAGTAGCTACGTGATTCGGCCGTCACATCTGGAGCCGCCGGCCAGCCGCTCTCCTTGCCCTGCCAAGGGCCGGAGTCCTGGAAGGCTCGGCGACTCCAGAGCGCGCGTATCCGGCACAGGTAACTGAGATCTGCATCCTCCGACAGTATTCCAAGTGCAGTCATGTGGCCCGGAGCGTTCAGGAAGTGCTGCGGGACGGGGGCGGGGTCGCCTGCGGACCTGGCCGGGACAGGCAGCGCCTCTAGTCCAGGACCCTGGGCCCCCGGGTAACCCTTGCGGGCGGCGGGGCAGGGAGTTTCGGCTGCTGTGCCTGGTGGGCCAGACCGTCGCAGCCTTGCTCCCAAGAGGCCCCACGCGGCGAAGCCCGAGGATGCGCCTCTTGCCTCTGCTTCCTTTGTGGTCCGGGTTCTTTTCCATGCTTCTCGTCATCCTATGCTGGGCTGTGTCGGGTGGGTCAGAATTCCTATCTGCATTGTCTATGTTTCTCCTTTTTGTTTTTGACCATTACACTTTCTCACGTCTTCAGGTTTAGGATCTGAAAAACAATTCCACTGTTTGAATATGTACTACTCAGATACCTTGTTGTACTTGATCATTTTTTTTTTTTTTTAATATTCAGTCCTTTGTAAGCATTAAGAAAAATTTATGGTGGGCCAGCGAGATAACTCAGCGGCCTACAGCACCTGCTTTGGTAGGCTCAGGAGTTCGGTTCCTGGTCCCACAGGACACACGGGCCTGGCCCCAACCCTGGGGCCACTGAGTCCAAGTGTGGTGGTGCACACCTATAATCCCAGCGCTGGAGAGGCAGAAAACAGGAGAATCACTACGAGCTGCGTAGTGAGACACTGCCAAATACACAAATGAAAAAAAAAGAAAGAAAGAAAAAAGAAAAGAAAAATAAAAATTTATGGGGCCAGGCATATAACTCAGGGGCATAAGCGCTTGCCTGGCAAGTATAAGGTCCTGAATTAGATCCCCTATACAAAAATGAATAAATAAAATTTAAGAAATGGAAATGTCCATAAACATACTATTTTATTTTTTTAAGAGCTTCAATTCTTTTTTTTTTTAATTTGTGTGTGTGTGTGTGTGTGTGTGTGTGGCCAGCTCAGCCCACCAGGGGACGGGGCTGGCTGGCATGTGGTGCTGGGGGATTGAACCGTGGTCCCTGTGCTTTGATAAGCTTGTTCTAAGTAGATGCTTTAGACCACTGAGCCATCTCACCAGCCCCAAACATACTAGTTTAAAAAAGAAAAAAAATATGGTAATTTCTCTAGACAACTGGTGTCTCAGTTCCTCTTCTCATATTCCTGGGACAAATACTCAACACTCAAAATTAAGGAAGGAAAGGTTTATTTAACTCAGGTGCTGAAGGTTTCAGTCCATACTCAGCTGGCTCCAAGGCAGGGTGGCTCATGGAAGAAGGCAGCAGTTCATGGCAGTGGAAGGCAGTAAAACAGCAAGAGTAAATGGGAGGAGTAACAGCAACAATGGCTGCAGAGAGCAAGACTGTCTCCTTAAATTTCATTCAGCTATCCACCCCAGGCTGGCTGTAATACTCAGACCCATAATCCCAGCAGCACTCACACCCATAATCCCAGCAGCACTCACACCCATAATCCCAGAGGCTCATGAGTTAATCACAAACTAGAAGTCTGCCCCATGACTGCATGAGGCTTTGGGGGAACAACCAGAGACAAACCATAACAACTGGGGACTGAAAGTCTGTGAAGAACCACCACCTTGCTATGAGCTCCACATCTGCGTGCAGGGCGCAGGCAGCAGCCAGAACTGTTGCAGGGCCCCGAAGATCACTCCTTGGGGTGATGCTGGTCAGGACCATCAGGAGCGATAAGCAGGACATAAGCCCAGCTGGATGAGGCTGCTCCCCCAGGGTCCCCAGCCTATTGCTGCTAAGGCATTGTGACTGCCCACCAGCACTGTGCCTGCTCTCGCTGTCATTTTCTTCCCCTTTTTTCTCTTCTGCCCAGGGTTCTGCAAGGTGCAGCAGGCAGAGAACCGCCAGACCTGACCTCCAGATGCCAAGGAGAGGGAAACCCTGATGGCATCCCCCATAGGTGGGGCGTGAGGAACACAACCACAGCCTGAGGAATTGGGCAAGGACCCTCCTGGAGGGAAGGAGGGGACAGTTTAGGAACTTGGCGCCCACCCATCTACTGTGTCACCTGGCTCAGGCCCACTGCCCCCTAGCCTCCTGTCTTTCTCAGTCCCTGCCCTACATGCCCTCACCAGTTCCTGCTGCCTCTGCCAGACACACACACACACACACACACACACACACACACACACACACACGAGTGCCTTGTGCTGTCTAGCTCCCTGCCCTCAGCAAGTGACCAAGGGAGTTTGATGACTAGAACTGCTGGCAAGCCCCTTGGCCAATGGCCATTTGCCCTCTCGCTAGCTTCCAGAGACACAAGGCCGTGTGTGAAGGCTGTCAAAACTAAGGACCCGGGGCTGGTGAGATGGCTCAGTGGTCTAAAGCACCTACTTAGAACAGGCTTAGCAAATCATGGGGACCACAGTTCAATCCCCCAGCACCACAGGCCAGCCAGCCCCGCCCCCTGGTGGGCTGAGCTGGCCACACACACACACACAAATAAATAATTAAAAAAAAAGGGGGGGGGGCTGGTGAGATGGCTCAGTGGTCTATTAGACACCTACTTAGAACAAGCTAAGCTAAGCAAAGCACAGGGACCACGGTTCAGTCCCCCAGCACCACATGCCAGCCAGCCCCGCCCCCTGGTGGGCTGAGCTGGCCACACACACACAAAAAAAATAAATAAATAAATAAATTAATTAATTAATTTAAAAAAAAAACAAAAACTAAGGACTCATTTCAGTTTGTTACTGTTGCTCTTACTATCTACATAACTAGTCCTTACAACCCCATCTTGTCAAAGCCACTGCACAGCCATGCTCCGATTCTTCTCAGCACTTAAGAGCTGTGGCCACTCAGGACCCACACTGAGCCAACACACCAGACCTGTGCCTCTAATGCACTTACTCCCCTATCTCCCCTGGAGATGCCAAGCCTGGGGTGTTTATGTCAGATCTTCAGTGTGCCCAGATCTGTCGGCATGGGTTCTGCACAGCCCTGCAGCTCTGGGCAGACTGATCCTTTTAGCCAGTGCCACCCTGCCCAGAACAAGCACGTCACAGCAGAGCCACCCCAAGGGGAGGGAGCCTCACAGCAGGGCCAACCAAAAGGAGCATGGGAAGCAGCTCAAGCCCTCAGAGGCAGAAGGAGGGATGTGAACCCCAGGCCCATCAGAACCTCCTGGTCCCCCTCAATTTGGCCATAGTGTTTTTCTTGGGGATGAGTTTCTTAGAAGATGTGGCAGCCACAGGGTCTGCCCAAAAATGTCAGGGCTTCTTGACCTCTGTATAGGGAACATCTGAACAGGAAGAATCTTTGTTGGGGAGCCATCAAGCACTATAGAAGGTCCAGTAGCATCCTTGGCCTCTACCCACCGATGCCAGCACACCCAACCCTCCCTCGTAACAACCAAGACCATCTCCAGGCATGTCAGATGTACCCTGGCTTTATGTTTAGGGGTCCTTAGGGCTATCTTGAGAGGGACCCCTGTGTAGGATGGCCCAGTATAGGGCCACTACTGCTGACTGTACACACATCCTCCATTTGGGGCAGCTCCTTGGGACCTGAAGGCCTGACCCAGTAAGTAGTGTGTTCCTCTCAGTCCACCTGGCTTGGGGGTTGTCCTTACCTTGGCAGGCCCTGTCTCTCCCCTGTACCACCTCCTTCTGAGCTTCTTTTTCTCTTAGGAAGGCCACAGTTCATAAAAAGGACTCTGATATGCCACCATTTTGCTATGATGTCATGAAACTGTCTGGTAAATGACTATGTGATTTGTCTGAGCTGGGGGGACAAGGATTGCCAGCACTCAGCCTGGGATGGTGAGGCCCACAGTCACAGCTGGCTGCTGCTCACACTCTGGGAACTTTCACCTGAGTGAGGACTCCTCCTACACAGAACAGAAGCCCTTGGGGTTAGGGGCTGACTCAGGGAATTCAAGGTCCGAGAAATGGGCTAGAACTGGGACACATGCCTAACTATCCCAGTATACCTTTCCCCATTTCATCTGCTGCCAACAAGCTTCCTGAACTTTTCAGGTCACTAGAGGACACAAGAACATGTGCTAAGTCTGTCTGTCCCCTCCACTCCTGAGCCAGGCAGGCCAAGTTGGGAGCTCTGCTCACTTCTGGGGTCATAGTGTAGGATTCCCACAACCCACCCTGGCCCCTTGTCCATTACTGTCAACACAGGTTTTAAGAAGTGAGGTGGGAAGCAGAACAGGAACCAGACAAACAAAACAATAAGCATCCACTGGGAGTGACTTTATTCTTACCCTTCTACCATGACCATTGCTTAGCCGATTCACTTGTAGCATTGCATCATGTGATGGCTTTCTGGTGTCTAAAGCCAAACATGTCTAACATCTCTTTCCAGCAGATACACAGAGCAGGCCGGCTGCTGCGTGTACCACACCAGCTGCTGAGCAGGCAGAGCAGAGCCCTGAGCAGAACACACCAGCAGGAGGATACAGTGGAGAGGCTGAGCCAGAACCACTGCAGGTGCCTCCCAGGGGCCCAAGGGAAGCCAGAGAGGCCCAGGGAGCAGCCCCAAGGAAGGGACATTTTCGAAGTACCTGAAGGGCAGAATGGAGATGGGTGCCATGCACCCAGGACAAAAGTAGCTGGGAAGGTGGCCCCGGCCCAAGGACAGCCTTAGCTGTGTGACACCTGTGAGCAGGGCTTTGTGTACTCGTTGGATGCAGTGAAGCCCCAGAGCACGCACTCTGGGCAGAGCCGGCTCAGTGCAGTGACCGTGGGAAAGCCTTCATCCACAGTGCCACGTGGTCCTGCACCAGAGGTGTCACAGAGGGGAGCGACCCTATGCGTGCCAGGAATGTGGCAAGGCCTTCGGCCACAGCTTCAATCTGATCTGGCACCAGCGACTTCACACAGGCGAAAGGCCCTACGAATGCACTGCGTGTGCTAAAGCCTCCGAGTTTAGCAAGTGACCATACGCGTGCAGCGACTACGGCAGGACCTTTGTCCACAACTCCAACGTCACACGGCACCGCAGAACGCACCATGCAGAGAACCCATTCGAATGCCAGCAGTGCGGCCAGGCCTTCAGTCAGAGCGCAACCTCCGGCAGCACCAGCGTGTGCACACCGGGTGAGCGGCCCTTCGCCTGCCGGGATTGTGGCGGCACCTTTGGCCGGAGCTCTTTCCTCCGTGAGCACTGACGCATCCACACAGAAGAGAGGCCCTACGAATGCAGCCCGTGTGGTCGCTCCTGCCCGCACTGGCCGGATTCTGCCGGCACCTGCGCATTCACACGGCGGAGAAGCCCTTCCGCTGTGCGCAGTGCGGCACGCTTTCCGCCTCAGCTCCCACCTCCTGCAGTACCAGGCAGGTGCACGATTCTGAGTGAGTCTGGGAGCCTGCTCGGAAGACCCCAGTGTGTGGTCCACCCCATTCGGAAACCGTGTGAGGAGAAAGGGTCACAGGTGGGGGGCTAGAAAGGAACCAGCCCCTTACCTACTATCTTTTCTGAGAAAGGGTCTCCCTATGTTGCTCAGGCTGGACAAAAGCATGTTCCTGTGAGTCCCTGGGCAGCAGGGCCAGCACCACAAACTAAAACTCTGGAGTGGTTGAGTGGGACAGGGACTAAGAAGTGACCACAGGGTGGAGCCATGAGGCAGCACTTGCTTCTCTAGATGAGGCCTGTGGGGGCCGGGGAGATGGCTCAGTAGAATAAGCGCTTGCCTGGCAAGCGCAAGGGCGTGAGTTCAATCCCTGGTTCTGCCAAAAAACAAAAACAAAAAAACAAAAAAAACCACACAGTTGCATTGGTAATCACTCTGAGTTAATAAACTAGATGAGGCCTGTGAAGAGGGGGAGGCCCAGCCTCTGCCTACCACCCAGTCTGCTCTGCCTCCTGCAGGACACAGGGGGCTGAAGGCTGGGCTGGGAGGCCATAGGAATGAGCCAGATGAGCTGAGCCACTTCCCAGGCCAGGGGTTCCCAGGATGGGCCTTTGATCCAGACCGTAACACCATATACTTTGCAGAATATTTTATTTACAAAACTGTCCAGTATTGCTCTTCTAGTGCATCAGCCACATGCAAAATCTCAGTGGCATCAGAGTCTTTCAGAATTCAAAGTCTTCACCCACCATGGCAAGGGCCCAGGCAAATTTCGCTCTCTGTGTCTTGCTGTAAATTTTTTCCACGGGAACCCCAAACCGTTTACACCTGCAGGGAGAATATCAGCCAGAAGGCTGGTATCAGCCCCACATCCTGTCTGACTCCAAAGCCACATAGCAGGGAAACCAGAGACCCTATGTGGAGCCGGCCCCTGCTGCTGTTGGCCACCTGGTCCAGGCACATCCCTTTCAGTGTCAGGGAGGCTTGAGATCTCATGCCTGCTGCAGCCCAGAGCCATGCCGTGAGGAGCTCCAGAGACCCCGGTCTGGTCACTTCTCCTCCCTGTGGGCAGGCTGAGCACCCACATGGCCTTCATGTTCCAGGCCACTGCTGGTCCCCACCCCCAAACTATCCCAAAGCTTGGGGACGGAGGATCCAGGGCATTGGACTCAACATCAGGGACATCTGGTCAGGCAGGTCCCTGCCTACCACAGGGAACACAGGACAGGTTAACATACCAGGCAATGCTGATCCTGGGGTCCAGGTAGCTGAGCTTAGATGTGCCCAAGGCTACCTGCTGGTTCTCCTCTTTATCTGTGGCCTTGGTACTCAAGTGAACCAGCTGCTCCTCCAGCTTCTGCAGCAGCCTCTGCTTCTTTTCCAGGATGCTGGCAGAAGAGAAGGGGTCCTAGGTGCTCTGCCAGTGCAGTGGCATGGAGCCCATGCTTCGAGCCACCACTGCCTTCTCTGCCCTATGTCTTCTCTGCATGCTCTGCCCATGACCCTCCCTGGTCAACATCAGCCCCCACCCCCATGCAAGGTAAGATGTCCTGTCAGGATCAAAGACCAAAACCCAACTCCAGCTCACCCAGGTACCAGGGGCCAAAAGGACCCAGACCCAGAACAGACACTTCTGAGCCACAGTAGGGAGAAGAGACAGCACAGTCAGGCTCCTCAGAAGGTAAGTGAGGGAGATGCTTAATATAAGAAAAAGGCCAGCAACCCCGCAGTCACATGACAAAGGCAATGGAAGCAGACATCTCCTGATGTCTGAGAAGATACTCAAGCTTTACTCCTGCGCCCTAACACACACACACACACACACACACACACACACACACACACAC